AGTGTGTGATGTTCCCCTCCCTGTGTGCATGTGTTCAATACCCACTTATGAGTGAGAACATGCAGTGTTTGGTTTTCTGTTTTGTGTCAGTTTGCTGAGAATGATGATTTCCAGATTCATCCATGTCCTTGCAAAGGACATGAACTCATCCTTTTTTATGGCTGCATAGTATTCCATGGTATATATGTGCCACTTTTTCTTTATCCAGTCTATCACTGATGGGCATTTGCATTTTCTAGCTGTCCTCAGTGAACATTCGTTACTTTCTGAGGAGGTTACTTTAAACAATGTCTTTAGCAGCAGTGCTCCATGCCCTCGTGTAGTCTTTTCCTGGCAGAGGTTCCCCAGGGCTCTGCTGCTCTGGCCATGACTTATTCTCGGCATGAACTCCTCCCATTCCCCTCAAGAGAATCTCCAAACCCAGGTCACACCCTACACCTGCAGGTAAGTACAGGTGTTTGAGAAGAGCCTTATTCTTCCAGGAACAGCTGGTTCCCCCAGCAGGACCTAACAAGATGGTTATGTCTAAATAAGGCACCTGAGGCCGGGAGATGGAAAATGGTCCATCTAATACCACGGAGTGAGTTAGACACAGAACAGGATTGGAACCCATGCTTCCAACTCCCCATCCAGTTTTAAGGCAATTTTTTTTTTTTTTTTGAGAAAATCTTTGAACCTCATACAGAGGGAATTAATGTGGGTAAGTTCAGATCCATGTCCATTTAAAGTTCCGGGAGGGGAGTTCCTTTTCCCTCCACCAGAGCCCAGCCCCAGCTACTTTCTATTTCTTTTTCTTGATAAAACTATCATTTATCTTCACCTATTGCCATTTTCATGGATTACAGTCTCATTCATCTCAAGTAGCTCAAGTGAATGACTGTTTCTCCATTGAGTACAGGAGGACTGAAGGTGACCTGACCCACATGGTGTGCTTGCTTATTTGAATGTCTGATGGTTTTATGGGTGTAGTCCTGTTGGAGCAGAAAGAATACTCAGTTAGGAGCCTACCTCTGGACTCTGGTCTTAGCTGTGCCCCAAACTCTCTCGTTTGGACAATTCTCTCGTCTCTCTGGGCCTCAGTTTACCTATCTGGAAAATGATGGGTTTGAATTTAATACCTTGAGGATCTTCCAGCTGTGACATATTACAACTCAGGAATGAAGCAAATTCTCCTAACACTCTGTTCTCCTATCCGGTGCTCTTTGACGTCTTTGCCCAAGAGCTGTGGTACCCTACCCTGCCCACATTATGTGAGGCATTGTAGTACCCAGGTTAGAAGTGTGGTATCTGGAGCCTAACACAAGACTCACATTCAGACTCACTTACTATGTAACTTGGAAAAGTTATTTACATCTCTATTTCTTTAATTATAAAATAAGCATATTAACACTTCGTAGGGCTGTTGTGAAGATAAACTGAGTCGAGGTATGACAGTACCTAGTGTATGGTGAGCATCATTAAATGGCGTTGTTGTTTTCATTTATTATAAAGAAGAAAGCTCATGCATCTCTTGGAATTTCTGAGGACAGTGGAGCCACAGCTGGGAAAGTCTCAGGGAGCCAGGAGTTGCTGGCCTCCTGCTTTGCGTACTAGAAAATTGCTGGAAAGGGGCTATAGCAGGGGGAGACATTTTTTAAAATCCCAGTTACTGCTATTCCTCATGGCTATGTATATATCATCACCTGACATTACTACTCTGCATAGAAAGAAGCATAGCTAAAGAAAAGACATTTTGCTTTTAATATACCAGCTGTTTTCAGGGGAATAGGGTAGGATGGGGATAAGGAGTACAGTCACAGAATTCAGTCTTAGAAGACATGTATAAAATAGTGGACGATGGCCCTCTGTCCTCAGGCCTCCCTGTCACCAGCTCAATCACGTCTATCTTGCAAAGCCCCATCTAGCAGGAAGCCTGCTTTTCCTTTGGACTGTAGTGCTGAATTGCTGTTGTAAAGTAACAATGTTTCCTATGGAAGGAAGACAGTACTTAAAGTTTACAAGATATGGGTTCTGTTCTTAGTTCTTATGGCCTGTCAGCCAGGGACCTCTAGGCCAGTAGTATCATCCTTGAACTCATCTTTTTTTTTTTTTTTTTTTTTTTTTCCTGTTGGAGTCTTGCTCTGTTGTCCAGGCTGGAGTGCAGTGACATGATCTTGGCTTACTGCAACCTCCGCCTCCTGGGTTCCTGGGATTACAGGTGTCCACCACCACGGCTGGCTAATTTTTGTATTTTTAGTAGAGATGGGGTTTCTCCATGTTGGCCAGTCTGGTCTTCAACTCCTGACCTCAAGTGATCTATCCGCCTCAGCCTCCCAAAGTGCTGGGATTATAGACATAAGCCACTGTGCCTGGCCCTCATCCTTGAACTTCAAATTCCCACCCAGCTCACTACCACAGGTATATACCAGTTGTTCCTTTTTCTCTGTTCTTATGAAGGAAATGGCCTGAGGTCCAAAAGTCCCCTGGGTCCTGTTTTTCCCTCACTCTCAACATTCAATTAGTCTTCACGTCTACAACCGACAACTGTAACTTCTTTTCTCTACTACATTTTTTCTGAGGCCACAGCAGGAGCTTCTGTGCGTTCTTCTTTTTTCTAAAAACACTAATCCAGAACTCTAGTGTTTTTCAGTCTTCTTTACTTAAAACCCTTTCCTGGTCCCCATAACCTACTGAAGAAATCCTAAGCTCCCTGGCTTGGCCTCTATCTACGTTTCTCTGATCCCTTCCAGCTCTTTCTCTGTCTCCTAGCCATACTGAACTACTTGCAATTCCCAAACAGGGTACTGGTACTAGTACTCACTGTACTAGATGTTCCTGCAAGACAGGAATGCACATCCCGCCCCCCCACACTAGCTTAACAAGAAAAAAAATGTATTTCCCTCTCATGTAAATGAAGTCCAAAGGTAGACATTCCAAAGTTGGTATGGTGTTCTAGTGTCAGAATCCAAGTTCTTTCTACTTTGTGGGTTTGCTGTTCTCAGCATCTGACTTCCACTTTATGGTCCAAAATGACTGCTCAAGCTCCAGCCATCACATCCACATTCCAGCCAGCAGGAAGGAAGAAGAGACAAGGAAAGGCATAACCTTGGCTCTAAGGATAGTTCCTGGAAGTCACACTTGCTTACATACCATTGGCCAGAATTAGTCATCCAGCCATATTTATCTATAAGAGAGGCTATGAAATTTTTTATTTCAGGGAGTCTAGGTTGCCATGTGCAAAAGTCAAAACCAGAGGTGCTGGTGATCAAAGAAGAAAGAGAGAATGGATACTGGGTGACATCGAGCAGTCTCTCCCACACACTCACATATCCGGGAGTCACATCCCCTCTCTCACGCTTACAATCTCCTTACGTGGCATGCTCTTTTTTGCCCCTCAGCATGCGTTCATTTTATGGCCATTTCCTCATACTACCTCTATTGTTGCACCATCACAGCGTGTTAATCATCATTCAATTATCCACCTTTCCCACTACTTGTGACCTCCTGGAAGGCCGGGACTGTGTCTTACCTTTGGTTTCTTAGCACCCAGTACAGCTGCACAATCTCCAGCCAAAGTGGACACACCACCAATAATTCGTGAGAGTATATTCTTCAGGTTCCTAGGAACTTCCTTACATCTGTAGGAAGGTATGGGGGTGGGGATAGCTCAGGGATTGTAGAGGATTGTGGCAGATTTCTATTCTTTGGGTTGCACACAGGCCATCTCCCTGGACATTTTCCCAGATACTGCAGTGACATTGATTACGTCTAAGCCTTGGTAGTGAGGACCGAGGTGGATGGAGAGGGATTATTGTCATGATTCTTGCTTTCATTTCAGTCCGTTCTTTATTTGATTTCTGCCATTTATTCCTCTCAGTTTTTACCTGGGCAACATCATCTCTCACCTGCTTTTTAAGGTGAATATTGACGGCTGATCTCATATATTAGTTCTGGCTTTCTTAAGAGGGACATGGCTCCCTTCATTCTTAAGCCTTTGGGACTACTTTTTCTTTCTCATTTGCTCATGATCTCCATTTGATCTGCAGGACAGCTCCTGTATGAGAGAGCAGAGCAAACGTGTTATTCCCATTTCACAGATAAATAATTAACATTTACATGCATAATTTTCCCCTAAAATTTGGGTTCTTTCTTAGGATAGATTCCCAAGCATGGAATTACTGAGTTAAAGAGTATAAATGTGCTTTTTTCTTTTCTTTTTTTTTTTTTTTTTTAAAAAAAAGGCTTTTAATACATTTTGTAGAATTGTTCAAGCAAGGCTATCACACTCATGTTTAAGCCAGGCAGGTATAACTACTCATGTGCAGGCCAACCCAGGAGCCAGCGTGGTGGGAGAGGCTATGGCTGGTTCCCCCAGCCAGCACAGGCACTCATGAGCTTATCACCAGCCTGGTGAGAGTCTCCTGTTGGGAGATGCACATTTTTGCATGCACTCTGGGCCCTCCACACAAACTGTGTATTTCATCTGGTGCTCAACCACAAGCACAGCCATCTGTTCCAGTGCTGCAGAAACTATTGGCTGTGTTGGACTTCGTGAGAGATCCTACGTCAGTCTCCATCGTGAGGTACTGGACTTTGTACATCACGATGTACTGGACGTTCTAGGTGATGGAAAGGATTCCAGAGATAATTTTAATTCTGTGAAACCCTAGCTTCAAACTCCACTCTTGTGTCCCTCACACAAGGTGTGACTCCAGGGGGCTGGGGTGCCATGCTATTTTCACTGTACCCTTGCCCCCGTAATCTCAAATAATCTCAAAGCATGGGTGGAACCCTTTCTAGTCTATGGATAGTGGCTTGTGATAAATGTCCTTTGAGGTCAACACAGTGCAGGCTGGCATCTTTACCTTTCTTTCACTGAAGTTAAGTGCTGCACCAGAACTTAAAAGCCCCAAAGGGGGTTCTGGGGGCTCCAGTTGTACCTTGTGCTATGTCAGCTATTACTTCATGTTAAACATTTGCATATGAATGTTCCATGACAGCTTGTCTCTTTCTTTTTACAGTTGGTCACCACAGAGCGGCGCTTCCTCACAGACAGTTTGTACAATGAAGGAATCCTAATTGTATGGGACCCATCTGTGTACCATTCAGATATCCCGAAGGTAAGTGGGTGTCCATGGGAAATAGGGGTTGAGTTTCATGTCTGTCTACAGATTTTCCTGATTTCCTAGGTTTTTCAAGTCTTGGCTGTGATTAACTGTCCCTCAAGGCTGAGTATTTGAGTTTTAGGGTACCCCATTTCACCTGGACTAGCAGATTCAGAAGTATTCCTGTCCTATGCCAGCTACTCTCCTTGCCTAGCCAGGTATTGCCAGGTATTGTCTCCTAGTTATAGTATTTACTGGGATAGTGGCTGGACTTCCCAACATCTGGGGTAGATTGTTCATTAATGCAATTATTCCTCATGAGCATCAGCAGAATTATAGATGGTGTTACTCCTGTAAATAATATGAGCACACTTTTGTTTCCCACTTCCAATATCCAGAATTCTTCCCATTTCACTTTCATAACAATGTAAGGGGATAGATGGAGGAGTGGTTGTTCCCATTTTACAGATAGGGAAATTGGAACGTGGAGAATGAAAGTCCCTCATCCCAGCACTTGATTTACTAAGCAGAAGGTGCGGATCTGCAGCAGCAGCTCTTCCCAGGGAAGGAAACGTGAGTGGCAGGCCTGCTGGATTCTAGTCCCCCTGGGACAGTCCTCTCACTGTTATGCATGCCAGTTGACCTCTCCCTGATATAGACTGCTGTGGCCTCAGGAGCATGACTTTAAGGAGGAAGGGCAGAGAGCACTAATCTTGGGACATGTAACTCTTAACTTGGATCCACTAGTGCCTGACAGGCTCTGGTGACCCCTGGCACTCTCATTATCTGAGTTTCTATAGTTTCACACTGATCTCACTTAGAACTCAAATTTGCCTAGGTCAGGACAAGGACTCTGAACCCATAGATGTGGCAACCTATGCTCCAGTTTTCTTCCCTTTAAAAATGAGAGATGGGGCTAGATGGTACCTGGAACTCCTTTCAACTCTGATAGTGTTCCTGGGTAACATCATCTCCCACCTGCTTTTTCTTTTTTCTATGCATTATTCTTTTTTCTAAAAACACTAATAGCTGTTTTTAGAAGCCTGAAGACGATCTTGGCTTGCTAAGGTCAACACTCCTCAAAAACACAGGCTACATGCTAGGCCTTACACTGCTATCCAGTGAAAGCTGTGAGTGGAAGGGAAGCCTGTAGTCTGCTGCAAGAAAAGGGCTGTGCCCCAGGAGAAATGCTTGTTGGTCCTTTCCCCTCCCTCAGCCACTGCTGAGGATGACTCCTGTGGCCCATTTCTCCCTTGAGAGGACCATTTCTTTCTTTTTCAGTGGTACCAGAATCCAGATTATAATTTCTTCAATAACTACAAGAGTTATCGTAAGCTGCACCCCAATCAGCCCTTTTACATCCTCAAACCCCAGATGCCTTGGGAGCTATGGGACATTCTTCAGGAAATCTCCCCAGAAGAGATTCAGCCGAATCCCCCATCCTCTGGGATGCTCGGTGAGTTCATGTCAGGGAAAAGAGCTTGCATGTTTGTTTCTAGAAGAGATGAGCTTTTTTTCTGGGGTCTCATTCGTTCATTCATCCATTTGTTCATTTGTTCACTCAACAATTGCTAGGATTTTGCTTTGCTTGTCCACTGTGCCAAGTTCAATTTAAAATACAGAGGTAAGTAAGATAGAATTCTTTTTCCTGAAGGTATCTATTGGGGGAGTTCAATCAGATGTCTGAGGCAATATTCAATTTGTGCCAGGAGGGAGAGACAACCTGGTGTCATAGGAGAGAGGACACCTTCTCACTGGACAGTCACATATAGCCTCATGGAGGAAGTCATGTTGGCTAGGCTTCTGAGAGGGGAGAATTTAGCAGAAGAAGATGGAGGGAAGGGAAGCCCTGAACAGAGGAGGGAGGGAGGTGGGAAAACATCAGGAGTGGGACTGCCCCTCAATGAGGGCAGGAAGACACTTTTCTCAGGTGTCCAATTTAAGGGGGTACCCCAAAACTCAGTCATCAAGATGAATAATATTTTAATACAGTATCTTCAAAAATCACAATTAATGTGAAAATTATGATGAATGAAATATCAACTATTTAAATCAAGATAGGATCAGTAGGATCAGGATTCAAGATGGCCAATTAGGAGTGCTCAGGATTGCAGCTCCCCGCAAAAACGCAGAGGGTGAGTGGACGTCGCATTTCCAGACGGATTTCTATTGCCCACAGACTAGGAGATTCCCAGGCAGAGGAGCCCCACAGGTCGCCAGCACAGCTGTTTTGGCCAGCACAGCGGGTCTCTGCACAAAATACACAGGTCCGGGCACTGTTTTAGCTGGCAATTGGAGCTTCTGGGAGACAGAGTTGCCCATTCAACTGATAAAAAGCGGACTGAAACAGGGAGCCAGGCCAGGAGATTCTCGGGCGAAAAAGCACCACAAGTCCCCAGTGTGGCTGTTTCAGCTGGCGCAGTGGGTCTACGCACAAAAAATCACACAAATCCAGGTGCTGTTTCAACTGGTGACTAGGATGCCTGGGAGAGTTGCCTGTTCAACCGAAAAAAGTAAGGGCTGTGAGGCAGGGAGCCAGATGTTCAGGCTCAGCTGGTCCCACCCCCACAAAAACAGCAATCTGAAATGCTCTGGATTGAGAGTTTCACAACAAGCACAGCTGAACCTGGGATGGTCCAGCTCTGTGAGGGAGGGGCATCCACCATTACCGAGGCAGCCCGCCATTGCCAAGGCAGTCCACCATTACAGAGGTGGGCTGCCATTGCTGAGGCCGTTCTAACTATACCCCTATAAGCAGGACTGCAGAGAAGTTCCCACAGCAGCTGGGCGGAGCCTACAGCAGCTCAGCAAAGCCTCTGGAGGCATACTGTGACTAGGCTGCCTCCTGACTGGGCAAGGCAGCCCTGAAAAACAGTAGCAGCACTACAGAAACTTATAAATAAAGCCCCAACTCCCCGAGACAGAGCACCTGGGGAAAAAAATGGCGTTTATGAGTTCTGCTGCAGCAGACTAAAACGTACCTGCCGAGCAGCTCTGAATGGAACAATGGAACTCACAGCTCAGGACTTGAGCTCCTAAAGAACAGACTGTCTCATCAAACAGCTCCATGACCCCCATATATCCAAAGAGTCACCTCATAAAGGAGAGGTCAGGCTGACATCTGGCGGGCATCCTTCTGGGACAAAGATAGCAGAAGAAGAAACTGGCAGCAACCCTTACTGTTCTGCAGCTGCTGCTGGTGATCCCCAGGCAAGCAGGGCCTGGAGTGGACCTCAGCAGTCCTACAGCAGAGGGGCCTGTTAGAAGGAAAACTAAGAAACAGAGAGAAATAACTTCATCAATAACAAACTGGACGTCCACTTAGAGACCCCATCTGAAAGTCAACAACTACAAAGACGATAGGTAGATAAATCTACAAAGATGGGAAGAAGCCAGTGCAAAAATGAAGACAATGCCCAAAACCAGAACGCCTCGCCTCCTCCAAGGGATCACAACTCCTCACCAGCAAGGGAACAAGACTGGATGGAGAATGAGTGTGATGAATTGACAGAAACATGCTTCAGAAGTTGGGTAATAAGAAACTTCTCTGGGCTAAAAGAACATATTCCAACCCAATGCAAAGAAACTAAGAAAGGTGGGTAATAAGAAACTTCTCTGAGCTAAAAGAACATATTCTAACCCAATGCAAAGAAACTAAGAATCTTGAAAAAAGATTTGATGAGATGCTAATGAGAATAAACAGCTTAGAGAGGAATATAAGTGAATTGATGGAGCTGAAAAATACAACATGGGAACTTTGGGAAGCATACACCAGTTTCAACAGCCGACTTGACCAAGCAGAAGAAAGGATATCAGAGGTCGAAGATCAACTCAATGAAATAAAACGAGAAGGCAAGATTAGAGAAAAAAGGGTAAAAAGAAATGAACAAAGTCTCCAAGAAATATGACACTATGTGAAAAGACCTAATCTACATTTGATAGGTGTACCTGAATGTGACGGAGAGAATGAATCCAAGCTGGAAAATACTCTTCAGGATATTATCCAGGAAAACTTCCTGAACCTAGCAAGGCAGGCCAATGTTCAAATCCAGGAAATACAGAGAATACCACAAAGATATTCCTCAAGAAGAGCAACCCCAAGGCACATAATCATCAGATTCACCAGGGTTGAAATGAAGCAGAAAATGCTAAGGGCAGCCAGAGAGAAAGGTCGGGTTACCCATGAAGGGAAGCCCATCGGACTCACAGCAGATCTCTCAGCAGAAACCCTACAAGCCAGAAGAGAGTGGGGGCCAATATTCAACATCCTTAAAGAAAAGAACTTTTAACCCAGAATTTCATATCCAGCCAAACTAAGCTTCATAAGTGAAGGAGAAATAAAATCCTTTATGACCAAGCAATTACTCAGATTTCATCATCACCAGGCCTGCCGTACAAGAGCTCCTGAAAGAAGCACTAAACATAGAAAGGAACAACTAGTACCAGCCACTCCAAAAACATACCAAATGGTAAAGTGCATCGACACAATGAAGAAACTGCATCAACTAACAGGCAAAACAGCCAGCTAGCATCAAAATGGCAGGATCAAATATACACATAACAATATTAACCCTAAATATAAATGGGCTAAATGCCCCAATCAAAAGACACAGACTGGTAAGTTGGACAAAGAGTCAAAACCCATGAGTGTGCTGTATCCAGGAAACCCATCTCACATGCAAGGATACACAAAGGCTCAAAATAAAGGGATGGAGGAAGATTTACCAAGCAAATGGAGAGCAAAAAAAAAAAAAAAAAAAAGCAGGACTTGCAATTCTAGTCTCTAATAAAATAGACTTTAAACCAACAAAAATCAAAAGAGACAAAAAAGGACATTACATAATGGTAAAAGGATCAATGCAACAGGAAGAGCTAACTATCCTAAATATATACACACCCAATACAGGAGCACCCAGATACATAAAGCAAGTTCTTAATGACTTAGAGACTTAGACTCCCACACAACAATAGTGAGAGACTTTAACACCCCACTGTCAATATTAGACAGATCAATGAGACAAAAAATTAACAAGGATATACAGGACTTGAACTCAGACCGGGACCAAGGAAACCTAATAGACATTTACAGAACTCTCCACCCCAAATCCACAGAATATACATTCTTCTCAGCACCACATCACATCTACTATAAAATTGATCACATAATTGGAAGTAAATCACTCCTCAGCAAATGCAAAAGAACCGAAATCATAACAAACAGTCTCTCAGACCACAGTGCAATCAAGGTAGAACTCAGAATTCAGAAACTAACTCAGAATCACACAGCTTCATGGAAACCAAACAACCGGCTCTTGAATGTTGACTGGATAAACAATGAAATGAAGGCAGAAATAAAGATGTTTTTTGAAACCAATGAGAATGAAGACACAACATACCAGAATCTCTGGGACACATTTAAAGCAGTGTCTAGAGGAAAATATATAGCAATAAATGCCCAAATGAGAAGCAAGGAAAGATCTAAAATCAACAACCTATCATCAAAACTGAAAGAGCTAGAGGAGCAAAATAAAAAAAAAACTAGAAACCTAGCACAAGAAAAGAAACAACTAAGATCAGAGCAGAACTGAAGGAGATAGAGACACAAAAAACCCTTCGAAAAATCAGTAAATCCAGGAGCTGGTTTTTCGAAAAGATCAACAGAATAGACCACTAGCCAGATTAATAAAAAAGAAAAGAGAGAATAATCAAATAGATGCAATAAAAAACGATAAAGGGGATATCACCACAGATTCCACAGAAATCATCAGAGATTATTACAAACAACTCTATGCACATAAACAATCCAAACCATCATCAGAGATTATTACAAACAACTCTATGCACATAAACTAGTAAACCTGGAAGAAATGGATAAATTCCTGGACACTTACATCCTCCCAAGCCTAAACCAGGAAGAAGTCGAAACCCTGAATAGACCAATAACAAGGGCTGAAGTTGAGGCAGCAATTAATAGCCTACCACCCAAAAAAAGCCCAAGTCCAGATGGGTTCACAGCCTAATTCTACCAGACTTATAAAGAGGAGCTGGTACCATTCCTTCTGAAACTATTCCAAACAATCCAAAAAGAGGGAATCCTTCCCAAAACATTTTATGAGACCAACATCATCCTGATACCAAAACCCGGCAGAGACTTAGAAAGAAAAGAAAACTTCAGGCCAATATCCATGATGAACATAGATGCAAAAATCTTCAATAAAATACTGACAAGCCGATTGCAACAGCACATCAAAAAGCTTATCCACCATGATCAAGTAGGCTTCATCCTGGGGATGCAAGACTGGTTCAACATATGCAAGTCTATAAACATAATTCACCGCATAAACAGAACCAAAGACAAAAACCACATGATTATCTCAATAGATGTAGAGAAGGCCTTTGATAAAATTCAACAGCCCTTTATGCTAAAAACCCTCAATAAACTAGGTATTGACAGAATGTATCTCAAAATAATAAAAGTTATTTACAACAAACCAACGGCCAATAACATACTGAATGGGCAAAAACTGGAAGCATTCCCTTTGAAATCTGGCACTAGACAAGGATGCCTTTCTCATCACTCCTATTCAATATAGTATTGGAAGTTCTAACCAGAGCAATCAGGCAAGAAAAAGAAATAAAGCATATTCAATGAGGAAAGGTGGAAGCCAAATTGTCTCTATTTGCAGATGACATGATTGTATATTTAGAAGATCTCATTGTCTCAGCCCCAAATCTCCTGAAACTGATAAGCAACTTTACTAAAGTCTCAGGATACAAAATCAATGTGCAAAAATCACAAGCATTCTTATACACCAATAACAGATGTAAAGAGAGCCAAATCAAGAACAAACTGCCATTCACAATTGCTACAAAGAGAATCAAATACCTAGGAATACAACTAACAAGGAACATAAAGGACTTCTTCAAGGAGAACTACAAACCACTGCTCAATTAACTCAGAGAGGACACAAACAGATGGAGAAACATTCCATGCTCATGGTTCAAAGAATCAATATCGTGAAAATGGCCATACTGCCCAAAGTAATTTACAGATTCAACGCTATCCCCATCAAGCTGCCAATGACCTTCTTTACAGAACTGGAAAAAACCACTGGAATGAAAAGAGAGCCCATATAGCCAAGTCAATTCTAAGCAGAAAGAACAAAGCGGGAGGCATCACACTACCAGACTTCAAACTATACTACAAGGCTACAGTAATCAAAACAGCATGGTACTGATACCAAAACAAAGATATAGACCAATGGAACAGAATAGAGGCCTTGGAGGCAACACCACACATCTAGTACCATCTGATCTTTGACAAGCCTGACAAAAACAAGCAATGGGAAAAGGATTCCCTGTTTAATAAATGGTGTTGGGAAAACTGGCTAGCCATGTGCAGAAAGCAGAAACTGGACCCCTTCCTGACACCTTACACTAAAATTAACTCCAGATGGATTAAAGACTTAAACATAAGACCTAACAGCATAAAAACCCTAGAAGAAAATCTAGGCAATACCATTCAGGACATAGGTGTAGGCAAGGACTTCATGACCAAAACACCAAAAGCATTGACAACAAAAGCCAAAATAGACAAATGGGACCTAATCAAACTCCACAGCTTCTGCACAGCAAGAGAAACGTCATTAGAGTGAATTGGCAACCAACAGAATGGGAAAAAATTTTTGCAATCTACCCATCTTACAAAAGGCTAATATCTAGAATCTACAAAGAACTAAAACAGATTTATAAGAAAAAAACAAACAAGCCCATTCAAAAGTGGGCGAAGGATATGAACAGACACTTTACAAAAGAAGACATATATGAGGCCAACAAACATATGAAAAAATGCTTAGCATCAGTGGTAATTAGAGAAATGCAAATCAAAACAACATTAAGACACCATCTCACACCAGTTAGAATGGGGATCATTAAAAAAGCTGGAGACAACAGATGCTGGAGAGGATGTGGAGAAATAGGAACACTTTTACACTGTTGTTGGGGGTGTAAATTAGTTCAACCATTGTGGAAGACAGTGTGGCAATTCCTCAAGGACCTGGAAACAGAAATTCCATTTGACCCAGCAATCCCTTTACTGGGTATATATATAAAGGATTATAAGTCATTCTACTATAAGGACACATGCACACGAATGTTCATTGCAGCACTGTTTACAATAGCAAAGACTTGGAACCAACCAAAATGCCCATTGGTGATAGACTGGACAAGGAAAATGTGGCACATATAAACCATGGAATACTATGCAGCCAATGAGTTCATGTCCTTTGTAGGGAGATGGAGGAACCTGGAAACTATCATTCTCAGCAAACTGACACAAGAACAGAAAATCAAACACCGCATGTTCTCACTCATTGGTGGGTGTTGAATAATGAGAACACATGGACACAGGGAGGGGAGCATGACACATTGGGGTCTGTCGAGGGGAAATAGGGGAGGGACAGTGGGGTGGGGAGTTGGGGAGAGAGAGCATGGGGAGAAATGCCAGATACAGGTGATGAGGAGGAAGGCAGCAAATCACACTGCCATGTGTGTACCTATGCAACAATTTTGCATGTTCTTCACATGTACCCCAAAACCTAAAATGCAATTAAAACAAAACAAAAAAACAAAAACAAACAAAAAAGGATCAGTAACAGTGCTGTGCAGTTTATTGGAACAATGCTGGCCAGTGGTCCTCTTCTTGGATTTTCTCCACACCTCATGGTCTGTCTGCTCTTCCCCTCCTTTCTCCTTGAGTTGAGCAGGACCACTAATCAATTTTTAATGGGGCTCTAGGATCTCCTAAGCAGAAGCTCACCACCCCGCCCCCTCCCTCAACATGCAGTGGGACCCTTTTCCACCGAATGGCTGTTTTGAATAAAACTCTTTGAGTTTCTCAATGAACTTAACTGGTAGCTACTGTCTCCAGCAGCCTGTAGGGGTTCCTTTGGGGCAGCCTTACTGTCAGGGGTTGGATTGTGGGAACAGTTTCAATGACACAATCAGAATGTAAGAGCATAAGAGGTTTTTATTACTTACAGATCCTCAAGCTAGGCAGGGCGATCAGAGAGGGGCAGACAGCAGTTCTCTGTCCAGAGGCTCATGGTAGCAAAAGCAATGTAGGCATGAAGGGGAGGGCTTCCCCTGTTTAAGGGTCACCTAGGGTGGGGTGTCCTAATTTCACCAGGTTATTTTTCTGCTGGGTACTTTAAATAGCAGGTTGGCTCAAAGCTGGATTTAAAACGGGGGGCTCCATGGAGGGACTTCTGTCTACATTAGTTAGCCTTCGCTGGACCTAGGCATCAAGCAACTACGGTTTCTCCACTACTTCAGTCAATGGCCCCAGCCACTCACCACTGTGTCACTTGTCTGCCTACCTCCCCTACTAGACTGCAGACTCCTTTGGGGTGGGAAGTATTGTGTCTTCTCTTTGAGTCTGACATGGGATAGCCCTTTGGTAAATGTTCCCTAAGTGAATAAATATGTGTTCAATATGAGAGGCACTCTTTTATAGAGAGATTGGGGTTCTTAACCATATCACATCTTCTTCATACCTTTTTCTTTCACTTTTGGTTGGGTGCATTTGGGGCTCTTTCTGGAGCCCTGTTGAGCAGGAGTCATTGGCATTTTGGGAGACACAGCTTCCCATTGCCCTGTGCTGTTACCTTTGCCACCAGTCCTCCCCTTTGCCCATCTTCATGGCCACTGCCTCTTCCACATCCCACACCAGTGCTTCTGGGAGGTTTACTTGTCTTCTCCTGTGGGAAGTGCTCCTTCTCATAATCCCCAGGAGCACTTCTGTGCCTTCATCAGTTAGTTGCAGAGCTTTCTTTTCTCTCCCATTCAACCAGGGGGTAGCCAGAGGGCAGAGGCAAGGTTGATCTCATCTCTAATTTTTTTGGAACAAAGTTGCTGCTAGCAGTTTTGCTTTCAGTGAGAACTACCCTATTATAAAGATTCCATATTTACGGTATACAAAAGGGGTTTTAGAACCATGATCTTATTTAATCTTAACAGTGACCTGTGCAGTAGGAGCATTGGGTGGATCATTCCCTTAGAACAGATGAAGAGTCTGAGGCCCAAAGAGGGGATGTGTCCTGCCTAAGATGACTCAGCCAGTTGGGGACAAGCATGGTGACAGCATGAGTCTTCTGCCTCCTGCTAGAGCCTGAATCCCAGAGTTCTGCACAGCCTCCCTGAAGAGCACCAACCTCCTAGGCTCTGATTGCTCTGCCTGAATGAGTAGAGTCCATCAGTACAGACTGTGGAGCGCTCTTGTTCCAGCTGTCCTTCCTCTCAGCTAAGGGAAGAAAAGTCTTCCCTCCCCAACACTGTTTCATGCAAGTGCTCTAAGGAATAGTCTGCTCCCAAATCGTACCATCCAAGAGGCTCTCCAGGATGTCACAGTGCTAGAAAGTGCTAATTATACATGATGGCACTGTCTCCTCAATCAGCTCAGTAACCTTGTCCTCTTTCTTCAAATAAATTATTCCATGGATACATTCATTAGCTGATTGATGGAGTAATTTAATCTACTAGCATTTGGGGAGACTGTGTTATTCACCAGGCCCTGGCCTACGTGCTGGGGATTCAAAGGTACATAACGCTTATACGGCCCTGCATCCTAAGGAACACTGCTGGGCTTGGCTTGTTGAAACTTGGATTGGGAATCACAGCCATAAATAAAAATTCCAGAGGGGAACCTCTCCATATTGGGGGTTGTGAGCTTCTGGACCCTGGGCAGAGCTCTGGGGTGCTGGGGTTGTTGGGCATGACTCACCTCTGCTCCCCTCTCCAGGTATCATCATTACGATGACACTGTGTGACCAGGTGGATATTTATGAGTTCCTTCCATCAAAGCGCAGGACCGACGTGTGCTACTACCACCAGAAGTTCTTCGATAGTGCCTGCACGATGGGTGCCTATCACCCGCTGCTCTATGAGAAGAATTTGGTGAAGCATCTCAACAAGGGCACAGATGAGGACATCTACCTGTTTGGAAAGGCCACACTGCCTGGCTTCCGGACCATTCATTGCTAAGCATAGGCTCCTCACTCTTCTCCATCAGGCACTGAATGGATGGTCTTTGGCCACCCAACCTGGGAAGACCATTTTCCTGAACAATTCCAGTCTGCTTCTTTTACTCTAGGGGACTCTGTCAGCAACAGCACTAGGGCTTCAGGAGCCTGTGGTCAAAAAATCAGGTCCAGCCTTCCCTGTGGCCAGTTTATGAGCCCAGAGCCTCCTCCCACACACATGCACATATCCCTAGCATTCTTTCCAGACAGCATCCTCCCCACCTTCCACCGTGGTAGATGCAAAGTCTACCTCTCCCATCAGGGATGCCAAAGCTGGGCTTTGTTTTTCCCAACAGAAAGATGCCATTCTTACAGACCAATGCTCTATATTGCTTGGAATCTGCATCTAAATATTGATTTCACATTTTAAAGAAATTGTCCCAAATTACCATTGTGCTCAATGCAGGGTGCTCTGGCGGGGGCAGGTAGGTGGTACAGGGGATTGGAAACATGCTCAACTCCTTCAGAACAAAGTTGCTCCCAAGGTCCATGCCCCTGGAACATGTTCCTATCACTCTGGCTGGTTGGGCTCGTCCTTAGACTGGGTGCTTATGAGCAAAGCATCTTGATTAGTCCTCTTTTTCTCTCCATGTGGAGATGGAAGATATGGAAGGATACAGTCTCTGTCCTCAAGTTGCTCCCATTCAGTGAGAGAGACAGATATCTGAACAGGCAGGTAGGATTCAGTGTGCTCAGCACACTGGGGACTTGTAGAATGATGGGCTTGCTCTCTGAGCACCCAGGAGGGCCACACACTTAAACTGTGTTTGTGGATCAGAGAAGACTTTGTAATATCGGGGGCATTCAAATGGGTCTTAGAGGGAGAGAAGAAGCTTGGCAAGCAGATTACATCTGAGTCATTTGACTTGTGTTTTTTTCTTTCCATATTTATTCTCTAAGATCTACCTAAACTTAGAGACTCAAGATATTTTTTTGAGGAAACCTCCTACCCATGTCTGAGGTAGCAAGTGCAGCCTCATGACAGATACCAGGTAATCCAGATCCCCAAAACCTGATTTCTCCAGGCTCAGCTGGGCCTGACCCTAACCTACCAGCTGGGTTTGCACACCATACTTCTTCCATTCTTCCTTTTTAATACCTACCCCCAAATCTCCTCCTAGCCACCACCTGTTTTTTTTTTTTTTTCCTTTTCAAGTCATCTTCCCCTCCCAAATTTCTTTTAAACTTTTTTTTTTTTTTTTTTTTTTTTTTCTTTAAAAGCATCATGACCCCAATTTATTTGAGCTCATGGGCCTTTGCATGTCTCTCAGGGAGTAGTGGTGTGGCTCCCCAGACTTATGTCACCCTCAGAGGTCAGAAACTTGGAGATTGTAACTGATTCTCATCAGGTGTGAGAAGTGTGATATCAGATTGCAATGCCCTGCACTTCTTCTTTGCAAGAAGGCCACATCAGGGGCTCTGGGCAGAGGCTGGCCCACTGAGGTTTGCAAACATGCTCTCCAGATGGTTTTCCTAAACCCCCTCTCCCTGATAGGAAATCATACTGGACCCATGCAGTCCCTGGTGTGGAGCAGTTAAAAGACTTGCACAAGATCACCAAGTCATACTGTAGAGCCAGGATTCCTAGACCCAGGCCTCTGGACTCTCAAGGCTGGCCCCATGTGCTCAAGGGGATCTAATGTTTGGGCTGCACACCAACCGTCTTGGAGCTGGGATCCTCACTTACTACCAAACCCTCAGCTTATATAGCTAGAAAGGCCTTGATTTTCGAATTAATGCCCCCCTACTGACTAGCTATGCCACTCTGGGCAAATGTTCTTTCTTGAACCTCTGTTTTCACATCTGTAAAGTGGGGATGATGATCCTATCTTACAGTGCTGTGGTGAGGGTGACAGGAAAGCACCTGTCCTGGCTCTGCACCTGGCACATAGTAGGTGCTCAGTGCATGCAGGTTTCCTTCCTGCCTTCAGTAGGGACCTGCTCTGTGTTCACACCTGAGCTGCATGCACCCTGTTGTGACTGAGGCTAGCGGGGAAGAGGTCCTGTCCTCAGGGAATTAACTGTCATATTGGGAGATAACAACAACCCTCCTTGGAACATCCAAGAAACCATGCAAAGCAGTGGACAGCACAGAACATGCCCCTCCTCTTCGCTGCCTACAGCTCCAGTCTGATTCTGCTTGGGAATGGGCAGAGCACATGGGCTGCTTCACTGCTGTATAGGACAAGTCCTTTACCCCTCTCTGGGCCCATGAACTCCTGGCTTGGTTTATGTTCTGATTTGACGCTCTGATTTTAAGCTTCGAATCATGACCACTGAGTGCCGAGGAGGTACCATTCTGACAGCTGGACATCCATGTTGGTGTGGAGACTGAAACGACACTGGGTAGAATCTAGTTTTTAATTATTAATATGAAGGATCTAATTAATTTAAATATAATTCTGAAGTCTACAGAACTTTTAGTTCTGTGCTGTCTATATGTGGACGCTTTGGTAAAATGCAAATTGTGAGATGGATGTTATTGATGGTCTGGTGAGATGTTTCATATTTTTGACAGTTAATTTAAAAATTATGACAGAATGCTGCCTCTGTCTATGGGATTCTGTCTTCTTTGATAGCCATTTATTCATCTGCATCATGGGGCTCTCTATAATCCTTCCACCAATCAAATAAGCTATTGCTATTGATTTAGAGTTGAGACATCAGTCTCAGAAACTTCTGAAACATCCCTAAGCTAATTCTGAATTACCCAAGGATTATGTCACATTTTAAAATAAACGTGTGTGTGTGTTTTTTAAGCTGCTTCTCTCTTCTTGCTTGCTAAGGGAACAACTGCTGATTGCCAAATTTTGTCTCCAAAGAGGATACAACTGAGATCCTGAACCCCCCAATCCTTAGCCACTAGTCCTCTAGCCTCAGACTTACACTTCAGTACTCCAGGAAAAGAAATGTGTACTTTATTGAAAGAATCGCCTCTTTGAAATATTTTACTGATTTACTGATTTTGGTGGGTTTTTTTTTTGTTTTTTTTGTTTTGTTTTTTTTTTTTTGCTTAGATTCACATAACTAACCTGTTGCATCAAAGGAGGGATGGAGTCGGGCAGAAAGCAAATATAAGGAAGATTCGTCCCTTGGAGCATGCGTTAAGGGAGAGAGGACGATTCCTTTCTCCTGTGAACTGCCCACCCCCTTGTTACAGGTTGACTTGTGTCCCCCCAAGATTCAGATGCCGGAAGTCCTAACCTCCAGTACCCCAAAATATGACCTTATTTGTAATTAGTTAAGATGAGGTCATATTGGACTAGGTTGGGCCCCTACTCCAGTATGGCTGGTGTCCTTTAGAAATGTGGAAATTTGGAAACAGATATAGATACAGGGAGAATGCCATGAAGGCTGAGATCACAGATAGCACTCACCTGCAACTTCCACTCCTACCCCACTAGTAGGGTTCTCCCCACTGACAAAGCCTGACTCTCAGTGTCTTAGATACTGTTCTTAGAGAGGGCTTCAGGCCCTGGTGGTGTGCTGAACCTGTACCAGTGCCTGGCCTCTAGAGCCATGAGCAAGATGAGGAGAAAGGACACACAGGATTTGGAGACTGCCACCTCCTTCCTAGTCCCAGATCCTCCTCTGGGTGCTTGGTTTCCACTTCCCTTGTGACTCCCTGTGCAGCCCTCAGGGATATGTTGTAATGTGATGGAGAGTGCACTGTGACTCTAATGGCACCTTCCCCTCTCACTTGGGGCAGGAACACTGGCTCAGGAAACTCATACTGTGGGATGGGATAATGTAATCAGCTCAGGAGAGAGGCAAAGTCCTTCTCAGTACTCCTGAAATCCCACTGCCCAAATCATTGGTGTCTCTATCCAGATGTTCTCAGGATGAATTAGAAAACAAGTTTATAATGGGAAGAAGAATTCTCTTTGGTCCAGTGAACACACATTAAACAGCCACCATGTGCCTGACACTGGGAATAGGATGAAAACCCGCAGCACCTGCCTTTCAAAGAAATGGAGGGCTACAAGAATGGGCCTGCCCTGCCTGTGGATAGGTATTGTCATGCTAATGTGAGATTAGTGATGTTATTTTCTGGAAAACTAAGCCTGGATAACACTGCTATTGTTAGGCACACATTCATAACTGCTTAGAAGAAAAATAGTGTGCCAATGCCAAATACAAAGACGTGACAATACAAGGTAAGGCAAAATAATGATATTATAGAGGAAACATTCATTTTAACATGGAGATTTGGGGAGTCTTGAGGATGGGCAAGATTATTTTTTCTTTAAAATGCACTTTCTATGAAAGTAATACACATTCAGTGTCAAAAGAACACAAAATTTTAAAAAGAGAAAAAGAACCATGTTCTACATCCTATGATCCCAAGGTAATTTCTACCAGCAGTTTCCAGTTCTACTTTAAAATAACAATATTTTTATACAAATGAGAACACATCCTTTTTATTTAAAAAATACATCATAAAAATGATTCTGGATCATTAAGGACCTTTTCAAAAATAGGCTTTGTAATGGTCGACTGATATTCAATCATAAGAATGTGTTGTCATTTACATACAACTTGTTCCTAGAGGTGGGCATGCAGCTTATTTACATTTGTTTTCTCCAAAATAACAAAGTATATAAACACATGTTCTCATCTCTGATTGTATCCTGAGGTGGGAAGTGGGATTAGGGGGTGGGATGAGTACTATTTTCCCCTCAGGAAATGTGGCTGGGAGACTCAGGATTATATTAAGGGAACTTCTGGAACAGTCTTAGAGAACTGGAAAAAGACCAGGTAATAAACTGATGGCAGATATTTCAAGAGAGCTGAATAGGAACAGCTCTGGAGTGCAGTTCCCAGCAAGAAGAACGCAGAGGGTGAGTGATCACTGCATTTCCAAATGAGTTTTTACTGTCCACAGACCAGGAGATTCCCAAGCTGAAAAGCACCATGAGTTTCCAGCATGGCTGTTTCAGCTGCTGCTGCGGGTCTTCCGCACAAACACTTGCACAAATCCAGGTGGCTGTTTCAACAGGCGCCTGGAATACCTGGGATACAGAGCTGCCCATTCAACTGAAGAAAAGGGGGCTGAAACAGGGAGCCAGATGATCTGGCTTGGTGGGTCCCACCACCTGCAAAGTCCAGCAATCTGAAATGCTCTGGATTGAGAGTTTTGCAGCAAGTGCAGCTGGACCTGGAACAGTCCAGCTCGGTGTGGGGGGGGATGAGTGTCAGCCATTACCTAGGCAGTCCACCTCTATGGAGGCATTTCACCATTACAGAGGCAGTCCGCCATTACCGAGGCAGACCACCATTACTGAAACAGTTCTAACAGGAAGTTCACACAACAGCTGGGCAGAGCACACAGCAGCTCAGTAACACCTCTGCTGGCAGACTGTGGCTAGACTATCACCTTGCTGGGCAGGGCATCTGAAAAAAGGCAGCAGCACATCAGGAACTTATAAATAAAGCCCCGCCTTCCTAGGACAGAGCACCTAGGGCAAAAGGTGTTTATGAGTTCTGCAGCAGTAGACTTAAACATATCTGCCCAGAAGCTCTGAATGGAACGATGGAGCTCCCAGCTCAGCACTTGAGCTGAGACAGACTGTCTCTTTAAGCAGCTCTCTGACCCCTGTATATCCAAAGAGATACCTTGTGAAGGACAGCTCAGGCTGACATCTGGCGGTACACTTCTGGGACAAAGATAACAGAAGAAGAAACCGGCAGCAACCCTTACTGTTCTGCAGCCCCTGTGGGTGATCCCCAGGAAAGCAGGGTCTGGAGTGGACCTACAGCAGGCCTACAGCAGAGAGGCCTGATGGTTAGAAGGAAAACTAAAAAACAGAAATAACTTCAACATCAACAAAAAGGACATCCACTCAGAGACCCCATCTGAAAGTCACCAACTACAAAGACCACAGGTAATAGGGGAAGAAACCAGCACAGAAAGGATGAAAACATCAAAAACTAGAATGCCTCTCCTCCTCCAAGGGATCACAACTCCACACCAGGAAGGGAAAAAAGCTGGATGGAGAATGAGTCTGATGAATTGATAGAAACAGGCTTCAGAAAGTGGGTAATAACAAAGTTCTCTGAGCTAAAAGAACATGTTCTAACTCAAAGAAACTAAGAATGCTGAAAAAAGGTTAGACTAAATGTTAACAAGAATAAACAGCTTAGAGAAGAATATAAATGACCTGATGGAGCTGAAAAACACAAGAGAACTTTGCGAAGCATATACAAGTTTCAATAGCCGAATCAACCAAGCAGAAGAAAGGATATCAGAGATTGATGATCAAATCAATAAAATAAATGAGAAGGCAAGATGAGAAAAAAGAGTGAAAAGAAATGAACAAAGCCTACCAGAAATATGGGATTATGTGAAAAGACCTAATCTACATTTTATAGGTATACCTGAATGTGATGGAGAGAATGAATTCAAGATGGAAAACACTCTTCAGGGTATTATTCAGTAAAACTTCCCCAACTTAGCAAGGCAGGCCAATATTCAACTCCAGGAAATACAGAGAATACCACAAAGATATTCCTCAAGAAGAGCAACCCTAAGGCACATAATAGATTCGCTGGAGTTGAAATGAAGGAAAAAAATGCTAAGGGCAGCCAGAGAGAAAGGTCAGGCTACCTACAAAGGGAAGCCCATCAGACTCACAGCAGATCTCTTGGCAGAAACCCTACAAGCCAGAAGGGAGTGTGGGCCAATATTCAACATCCTTAAAGAAAAGAACTATCAACCTAGAATTTCATATCCAGGCAAACTAAGCTTCATAAGTGAAGGAGAAATAAAATCCTTTACGAACAAGCAATTGCTGAGATTTCATCACCACCAAGCCTGCCATACAAGAGCTCCTGAAAAAAGCACTAAACGTAGAAAGGAACGCCAGTACCAGCCAATCCAAAAGTGTGCCAAATGGTAAAGACCATCGATGCAATGAAGAAACTGCATCAACTAACATGCAAAACAACCAGCTAGCATCAAAATGGCAGGATCAAATATACACATAACAATATTAACCTTAAATGTAAATGGGCTAAATGCCCCAATCAAAAGACACAGACTGGCAATTTGGATAAAAAGTCAAAACCCATCAGTGTGCTGTATTCAGGAAACCCATCTCATGTGCAAGGACACACATAGGCTCAAAATAAAGGGATGGAGGAAGATTTACCAAGCAAATGGAGAGCAAAAAAAAAAAAAAAAAAAAAGCAGGAGTTGCAATCCTAGTCTCTGATAAAATAGACTTTAAACCAACAAAGATCAAAAGAGACAAAGAAGGGCATTACATAATGGTAAAAGGATCAATGCAACAAGAAGAGCTAACTATCCTAAATATATATGCACCCAATACAGGAGCACCCAGATACATAAAGCAAGTTCTAAATGACTTAGAGACTTAGACTCCCACACAATAATAGTGAGAAACTTTAACACCCCACTGTCAATATTAGACAGATCAATGAGACAGAAAATTAACAGGGATATCAAGGACTTGAACTCAGACCTGAACCAAGCAAACCTAATAAACATCTACAGAACTCTCCACCCCAAATCCACAGAGTGTACACTCTTCTGAGTATCATACCTACTCTAAAATTGATCACATAATTGGAAGTAAATCACTCCTCAGCAAATGCAAAAGAACCGAAATCATAACAAACAGTCTCTCAGACCATAGCGCAATCAAAGTAGAACTCAGGATTAAGAAACTAACTCAGAATTGCACAGCTTCATGGAAACTGAACAACTGGCTCTTGAATGTTGACTGTATAAACAATAAAATGAAGGCAGAAATAAAGATGCTCTTTGAAACCAATGAGAATGAATACAAAATGTACCAGGATCTCTGGGACACATTTAAAGCAGTGTCTAGAGGGAAATTTATAGCAATAAATGCCCACATGAGAAACAAGGAAAGATCTAAAATCAACACCCTATCATCAAAACTGA